TAATGTCCTCCAAGTTCATCCACGTTATGCGGTCCACTTATATAACATTCTTTTAATGATAAAATTATAAAATTGGAGAACAAAGTAGTGGTTGCCAGCAGTTAAGGAGAGGATGGGAGTTGGAGGGAAGTTGGTGAGGGGTCCTTGTTGATGGAACTGCTCTATGTCTTGACTGTATCAATGTCAATATCTTGGCTGTGATCTGTAGTTGTTGTTATGTGCTGTCAAGTCAAATCTGACTCATAGCAACCCCTCCTTGGGTTTCCAAGGCAGTATTACTGCGGAAGTAGATCACCCAACCTTCCTTCCGAGGAGTGGCTGGTGGGTTTGAACCGCTAGCCTTCTGGTTAGCAGTCAAGTGCCTTAGGCACCACGCTACCAGAGCTCCTGGCTGTGATCTAGTACTATAGTTTTCCAAGGTATCCTCTGGAGGCTACCAGTAAATGACACATGGGGTCTTTGTGTATTATTTCTCTTAAACTGCATGTGAATCTACAATTAGCTTTTAGAAAGTTTACTTTAAAAAACAGAAAAATAATAGAGTCTAAGTGAAGATCATCTAGTCCTCACTGTCCAGTTGTGGAAACTGAGTCATAAAGGCACATATAAGAAAAGAGGGTAAACAAACCCACAAAATACAGACACTTAGGTACTGTCAGTCTTACTAATCTCAGAAACAGAATCTATATTTTATACCAGTAACAACTAAGTCTTAGAAATAAGATATTTTTAGATTGGTCTAACCAACAAAGTAGATACACAGTCCTGTCTGAAACAATCATGCTAATATATTTCTCATGACCCACACCTAACCTTCTTAACTCACAACATTTTAAAGTATTGCCTTTTCAGTACACTCAATACATGTATTATTCATAGCATGAAAAAACCCTCATGCTTTTAATGACTATATGAAAACTTAGTAACGGTCTGATCCCTTTCATAAAAATTAAGAAATCCTACTCAATCAAAATGTTCTCAGCTTTTCGAGTAGAAGAATACCACACAGTATTTCTTTATTCTAAAATGATGTGGCTCTTCAAAATGAGAAAAAAAATCTGCACACATATTGTTAGTTGTATCTGAGTAACAAAATTACAGCTTCTACAACTAGAGGCATTGCAAAATGCAGGCTCGAACCTACTTCCTTAAATCACTGCCTTGCCTAAAACACGTGCCTCGAGAGCATTTAATGGACAAAGGAATGTGAGCCAATTCCCCCACGTAAGGCCTATTTTCTGAAGAAAATCATGTGCTTCTTGGAGAACTGACCTCGATCCACGGTATTTTGGGGCCCAAACTAGTCTATAAAGAAAGCTAGTGTACATAAATCTGGAGGGGGGGCATTGGCAGTTGCAACCTAAAAAATAGCATTAAGAATCACACACCAGAATTGTCTCTTCTCCCCTTTGATCCCAAAACAACAAGAAAAGGAACAAAACAAAAAAACTGTATGCCAAATTTTACCCTTCCAAATCAGTTTTCAGGCTTTTAGATATCCCGATTAACAATTATTCTTTGACTACATTTAAAATGCTTAGTATGTGACCTATTTTTGCTTTTGTTGTATTTTAAAGATGGTTAAATGGCACACATTGTACTTACCTAAAAGAGGGAGTAAAACTGGGTAGTTGTAAGGCATCACAAAGAGGTTTACACAAGTTAAAGTCGTACTGGCTTTTAAATAACCAAATGGATATCCAAGTTCATTGTACTTCCCGCTGTTACTAACAAATACCTGACAAGAACAAGAAGTGATACGAGTGAGGACAATCAGGATTTCATGAAAAGCACAGCACACAGTATTCCCCAGAAACATCGATGGCCCAATGTTATGGGAATGTGAAAATTTCCATGGGCTTTTTTTAGCCCATGGTTAGGTCAAAATATATCATACTAAGTAGGAATGCTCAGATTGGGACCACTTCATAAATTATAGTAAGAAATGAAACTACACTATGCAATAGCCACTCAGAGTCCACAGGCTACATCAACAGTACCCAAATATTTACTTGCTCAGCCTAATGGAAAATAAGGCTGAAACACTGCTAAGTGATACCAGCCAGTAAAACCAATTAACTTCTCAAAAGAACAAGCAGTGACTAGAGTGCAGACTTTAGGAAAATGGAACAAAGTCCTATGCCTAAGCACATGTTTACAGAAACCGACCCCATTTAAAGGATCATGCAAACAGCCCTGTTAAGTCTTGCTTACCCCTTTCTGCTCTACTTCCCCTTGCTGCTCCAGCCGCCTATCCATTTATTCATGTCTCATTCAAGAAGTATTTACTGAGTAGGCTACTATAAGCCAGGCCCTGGTGCTAATGATTTTGAGGCAGCAAGGAGATGCTTTGGTTCAATCTGGAAGCCATTTTCTTTGCTGAGTTATGCTAGTAGCGCAAACATCTAACAACGATTAAAACATTCCTCTTTATTCCATCGGACTGCCACATTATTCCTTAATGAGATGTAGGGTTTTATATATTTGTACACTGTCAGCCCCCACATACTTGCTGTGCCGTGCTACAGTCCTCTAGCTACTAAGTTTTCTCTTAAGTTCCATGTTTTAAGACTTTGTGGCCCTATTCGGGAGCCCAGTACATACTTTCAGGGACTTGGTGTTGGCTGCTATCGAGTCGACTCCAACTCATGGCAACTGTAGGTAGAACAGAATGCAACGTTGCCAGCTCTGGTGGCATCTGCACCTTCCGGACCCCTGGTGTGTCTGACTCCACTCTTGTGGCTACTGTGCAGGCACTTCCTACCCAGGGGGCTCATCTGCCAGCGCGAGAGCAGACCATTGGCTGTTGTGACCCACAGCGTTCTCATTGGCTAGTTCTCAGTAGATTGCCAGGCCTTTCTTCCTAGTTTTCCTTAGTCTGAGAGCTCCACTGAAGTCTGTCCAGCCTGGATGACCCTGCTGGTGTTTGAAATCCTGGTGGCGTAGCTTCTAGCATCACAGCAACACGCAAGCCACCACAGTCCAACAAACTGACAGATGGGTGGCTGTACTTCCTCCTGGACAGATCTGTTCGTTGGTCCAGCAGTCTGTGGTACATTCAGTCTTCTTCACCAGCACCACAAGTCACATGTGTTCATTTTTCTGCAGTTTCCCTTATTCATTGTCCAGCTTTCACATGTATATAAGATCACTGAAAATACCATGGATTTGTTCAGGTGCACCTTAACCTTCAAAGAGATATCTCTGCTCCTGAGCACTTGAAAGAAGCCTTTTGCAGCAGATTTACTCAATGCAATACATCATCAGATTTCTTGACTGCTGCTTCCATTAGTTTTGATTGTAGAACCAAGTAATATGAAATCCTGCACAACTTCAGTCTTTTCTCCATTTATTGTGATGCTGCTTATTGGTCCAGTTATGAGGATTTTCGTTTTCTTTACGGTGAGGTTGTTGTTATGTGCTGTTGAGTCCGAGCTGACTCATAGCGACCCCTCCTTGGGTTTCCGAAGCAGTATCACTACGGAAGTAGATTGCCCAACCTTCCTTCCGAGGAGTGGCTGGTGGATTTGAACCCCCAGCCTTCTGGTTAGCAGTCAAGTCCCTCAGGCATTATGCTACCAGAACTCCTTTACGTTGAAGTATAATCCATACTGTAGACTGTAGTCTTTAATTTTCATCAGTAAGTGCTTCAACTCTTCTTCAATTTCAGCAAGCAAGGTTTTGCCATCTGTATATTGTAGGTTGTTAATGAATCTTCCTCCATTTCTAATGCTGAGTTCATCCTCATATAGTCCAGGTCTTGGATTATTTGCTCAGCATACAGATTGAATAAGTATGGTAAAAGGATACATCCCTGATGCACTCCCTTCCTGATTTTAAACCATGCAGTAGCCCCTTGTTCTGTTCAAATGACAGCCTCCTGGTCCATGTTGTTTCCTCATGAGCACAATTAAGTTTTCTGGAATTCCCATTCTTCACCATGTTATCCATAATTTGTTATGATTCATTCAGTCAAATGACTTTGCATAGTCAATAAAACACACTAGCGATTTTACATCTTTATTTTAAACTGGTTCCTGTTTTTATATTTGGTTTTCACATCTTGGAAGAACTTAAGTTGCTTGAAGATTAACTAGTAGCAATAATCACACATTCCAGGATAAAACAGATGGCAGTCTGAAAGTGTTTCTTATGAAAAGAAAACATGACAGTTACTCACTGATGTATGGTCCTATGGTTTATAAACAGAACAGACCTTCTCCTAGTGTAGGACTTCCTTGTTGTAGCCAAATGAAAACGCTCTGCCTAGAGTTTTACACAATAAATCCATAGGTAAATCTATCAACCAATCTGCAAGCTCTTCTGGCTGAAGTTTGATACTTGCAAGAACCAGTGTATGGTATCTGTGCATTTGCCCCATCCGAGTAAAATGCATGCCACACACGTCCGTGTGATCTTAGCAGAGTTTTCGTATATTATACCAATATGTAAATTAGTTTCAGGGCTAGCACTCTTTGCCAAAAAGATCCTGTACTTTCAATCTGCCAAGTTCAGCCTGAGGGCTGAGCGCCTTGCTGCAGCTGCAGGAGACACAGCTGAAGTGGACTGCATCCCTGAAATGCGATGAGGTGCTTGAGCCGGCCCTCGACTCGTGGCAACCCCATGAACAACAACGGAGCACTGCCTGGCCCTGTGCCATCCCGAAGACCCGTTAGGGATCAGACCGCCATAACCCATAACGTTTTCACTGGCTGGTTTTCAGAAACAGGTCGCCAGGCCTTTCTTCCTCGTCTACTTTCGTCTAGGAGCTCCACATCAGAGTGACACACACACCTCCGCTGGCAGCTGGGCGGTGGCTGTGAATGCAGTGCACTGGTGGAGAACCGAGCCCAGGCCTCCTGCGTGGAAGGCGAGAACTCTACCACTGAACCACCACTGCCTTTGTCCTTTCCGATAGGGATTCCTGACCTGGGGCCCATGATTAGGCCCTGGGGGGACAGGCTTCCTTCAGATGGTTTACCACATAGGTCACACCATAGTCTACTGCCTTACATGGCAACATACAGTGGGCTGAAATATCAGCCTGGAAGGATTGGCTTGGCCCTGTTTATACTACAGGGAGGAAGTGGGAAGAGAGCTGTTTCGCTGTAGGGAATTGCAGTCA